GGGTGAAATGAGGACCCGGATTGTTGTTGGGGGCGATACGCTGACTCTGTAAACCGCTTAGAGAGGGATGAAAGCCCTATGAAGCGGTATATAAGTCTAACTGCTATTGCTATTTATTCGTTCCCATTTATTTTGTTCATATCCATGTTTATATTTATACCTGCTATCTTGTTCCTTTTTGACAAACTAATAACAAAACAAATAAATCCAAGGCACAGACCATTCTAATACTCTTGGTAAAGGAGAGCAGAAAACTGAGAGAGGTCAATATTTCACGTTCTAAAAGTCAACCCTTGCAATGTTATATTTTGCTGAATCTCCATATTCCATTGCGGTACAGCCAGGAACTTTTCATGATCAAGCAAGCCCCTTATTCCCAGAGTGTTCCCGACTTGGAGAAATGTTATCTTAGCGTAATTGGATCAGAAGATCCCTCCAATACATAATAATTGAATTGTGGCATTTTCTGCTCAGCATAAGCTTTTAGAACTGCTATAATTTTTAGAAAATTATAAGATTATGAACTAAATGGCATTCTGAAAAACATCCAACAACTGTGGTCAGTAATGGGAATCGCATTTCCTACACCAGACGTTTGCTTATTCTGAACAACAGACAATCTTCCCTCTTTAATGGTTAACAAAAGCAGTCTGGCGAGATCTTCAAAAGCTGACTTACTTATTTATTCATTTATTGTTATCAATAAAGTCATCCAATAGGAAATATGAATAGGAAAGTCTTGCAATCTGTCTTACGGTGCAGAATTGAGTCTTCTTTCTAATTCTCTTATATCAGTGATGGCTAAACTTTTATCGGATGAAAAGATGAAAAGATCAGCAAAAGGACATTGGGAGAAAACTGACTCCGAGAACACCAGCAAGTGAAATTGGAAAGAAATGCCCCACCCTCCCAATCAAAGGGACTTTGCAGGGGGATAAAAAAAACCATTAAAGAAGCTGCAAGACGATTTCGGTAAAGCATTTTGTCAAACAGTACCACTGAGGCAGAGGAGCGAGTGGTGTTGAATACCCACAATAAAGGTCACACATGTTGTTCATTACAGGGAGGAGCTGTTGCGTTTCACACTTGCTGCCTGTTGACAACCTTACTCCATTCTCATCTGGGGGGAAAATGTATTCCAATTAATTTACAACATTTGCCGATTCAGGCCATTGGTTTCTTGGTTGCGTTCATGAGCTGAAGTCTAATCCAGAATGGATATTATTTGTTTGATGGATTTACCATTATGGTGGCTTACTGTTTTGAGGATAAATGAGCATGTTTATTTCAAATCCTTTCTCTTGACTCTCCCGTTCCTGTTTTTGTGGTTTTAAATCCAAATTGTACCGTGCCATGGAAGGCCGGTGATTGTTGTCGTTTGCCAGTACGGTGTTTTGAATTTAAGAAGCAAAACATTTCTCGCTTGTTGCAAATGCAAGCATATTCTCCAAGTTTTCCCCCACAGATTGTTTCATTACCTGGAGCATGGCAGCTCTTTCTACATCCATTCCTTGAAAAATGTGCACCTGTCACAGGAAGCTTTCTCATTTAATGTTTGCGGGAGAGCCTGTCACTGCAACATTGGCAAAAATGTAAAATCCTACTCTTATCCCATGAAAAATGATGCAATTCTGATCAGAGCTTCACTTTCCCTTGGACGTCCAATTGATATTCTGGCTAATCTATTTTTGATTTAGCGGCAAAGGTTGTAGTCTTACTCACACGCCGTGGTGTGGTTCAGATACTTCTGACTCTTCATGAACCCATGGACATCATTTTGCATGGCTAAAGGTGAAATAAAGGCTTTCTCAGGCCAGGCGTGTTCGAATTTAGGGAGTGCTGCAGTGGTGAAATTCAAATTTTTTTTATTACTTGTTCTGTGGGCGTGGCTTGGTGGGCATGGTGTGGCTTGGTGAGCATGGCTTGGTGGGCATGGCACGGGAAGGATACTGCAAACTCTCCATTCCCAACCCACTCTGGGGCCAGCCAGAAATGGCATTTGTCGGTTCTCCAAACTACTCAAAATTTCCGCTACCCGTTCTTCAAACTACTCAAAATTTCCACTACCGGTTTTCCAAACTACTCAAAATTTCCGCTACCGGTTCTTTGAACTACTCAAAATTTCCGCTACCGGTTCTTCAAACTACTCAAAATTTCCGCTACCGGTTCTTTGAACTACTCAAAATTTCCGCTAC